ACAATTTCTCAAAGTATCTGAATATGTTGACACTGAGTCGTGTCCCGGCTGGGAAGCTCCATAGGGTTTCTTTTTATTTTTGGATTCTGGGTAAATTTTCGGTTGATTGAAGCCAGTGGGATTTTCTCCAGTGATTTCAGCCCGACTCTATCAGTGATGACAACTGGCTTGGAGTTGAAAGTAAAAAGTTGGACGAAGTTGGTTTTGGGGCATGAATGCAGACAGGACTAAAATATTTTATAAATTCTTCTTGGTTTGGTAGAAAACAAATGTCAGGAAAAGTAAGTAAATGTCTCCAAGATGTATTAGACCTCTTGTTTTAGAAGTTTGATGAATTTAAATGTCTCCCTTCTGGGTTTTTTTCCTGCTTGAAATGTCTTTTCAAATAGCCATTCCACCAGTTTTATCAGAAAAGGTGAAAACCCTCTCTCAGTGCATTTTGATACAAACAGCGTTTTACAGTGGAGAAAAGGCCTGTTCCTTTTGCAGCCCTGCCGTGGAGTAGCTGTGTGGCTCAGTAACCCGCAGCAGCACCTCTTCCTGGGGCACGGCGTCCCCCTCCTCCCCGGCCGCCTGGCTGAGACCCAGCCGCGCTCGGTGCACATCCCTCCATGTGCTGGGGAAAGGGCAAGATCCTGGCAGCCCTCCGGGCCCCGCTCTCGCTGCCAGCTGAGGACGTGCTCTCAAGGTGGAGAGCCTTCCCCCAACCCTTCAGCTGGAAATAGTTCTTTAGATGGATATTTCTCTGTGGGTGGGTGTATTTTTATATATATGTGCACGTGTGTTGTTTGGGGGAGCACTGTAAGTGCTCCATAAAATGCGAGTCAAACCGTATATTGCTCTCCTCCTTTCCCTAGTTGAACAGTTGTTTGAAACCAGGATTTCTTCCCCCATTGTTCTGTTCCCAGCCCGACGTGAGCTGCGGGCTCACTGATGGCAGTGCAGATTTCTGCCCCTTCCTCTTTGCATTTCAAATCCTCCGTTGCTAATGGCGTCCATCACGAGGGTAGGGAACAGGACGTAACTCTCCCTAAAATTGTGATGACAGAGCAAAATCTTGGGGTTAAACAAGCTCACCCACAAGAAGACATACAGAGAAAATCTTGTCCTTTTTGTGTAGCTTGAAAATGCTTGTTCGAAGAGTGGTTTCATTCACCTGGCCTGGGGCTAACACCAGGAAGGAGATGGTGTACACGTATGCTGGACCGATGGCAGCAGGGCCCATGATGTGCTGGTTCAGGTGATGCCACAGACACAGTCAAATGAGGCCTAGACCCTTTTCAGCAAAGTCCTCAAAGTCGTCACTGCCTTGTCAGATTAGCATCTGAGCCCCTTGAAGTGATATAAACCCCACCTTCCCTCCGGAATTCTGATTATTTTATTCTAGAAATTCAAGCTGAAGTATCATTACAGTTTTAAGTGATCCCATGGAATAGATTCAATGGGAGAAATCCACATTTTTTTTACCCACTGTTTATACAACCCGTCAATCTTACGGTATTCCCAGCACAGCCTGTGGCGAATCTTGTTTGTACACAAAACATTTTTCAAATTTATTGTGGCGCCTGCTTTTATTTAGGCCGTGACAACCACTGCTAGCCACACTCGTATGGAGACTGAGCTGGGGCAGCCAGGCAGCTTTCAAGCCCCTTGATGGGGAGCACTGTGCAATTCTCCAGCCTGCGCCAGGTCGGGCAGTGATGCCGTCTCTCCAGCAAAACCTCAAGGGCTCTGCTGCAAACATCTTCACTTTCTCACCTCCTTTTCTCCTGGCCTGAACAGTCACCATCCGGCACCTCTGGCTGATGGAAGGCGCAGAGGGGAGCTTTGTCTCCAGCGCTTTCACGAGAACTCACCGTGCTCCCTGGGGCAGCATGGCCCCCCAGCAGCAGAGCTGCCGTGAGAGCACGTGTTTTTCCAAAGCCCTGCTCCGTTTGGATGTTGCACCTTTCCAAGAAGAGAAGTGTCTGAGGAGCACGGGAGTGATGTGCTCTTCTCTCTGGGCTTCTTCCACCGTTTCCAATCTGCAACTCTCAGCCAAAACAGGCTTCATTACCCTCAGGCTACTCTTTTCCCTGATTTGAGTTTCAGATATTTCTCCCGTGCTTAAAAAGCTGCTTTTGGCACCGTTTTCAGAACTGGAGCCGAGGTGGTTTTGCTCTCCCACATTCGCAGAGGAGCTCAGGTGCAGTATGCAACCCCCACACCTCCCCACTCCGTTTTTGGGGAATGAGTCAGATAATTTATCCAGAGACGCAGCAGCTGAGATCTCAGACCTGCAAACTTCAATCAGAAGATCGTCTCTAACGGCAGGCTAGATCGCAGTCCTTGGGGACGAGACCCTTCTCGCTCTGCGTTTGCGCAGCCCCGAGCATGGTGGCTCCTTCTGCTCTGCAAGCAGCACAGGCGCTCAACCCGCAGAGGCAAGACAGCCCAAAATAGCCTCATTAGTGAGGAATGTACTGATGCCGGTCCAGATGTTTTAGTCCTCTGGGGCTTGCAGTCACGGATGGCACTGGCTCCCGACGGCACGTGCAGCGGCAGGCAGCAGCATCACAGGGCGCAGGGGGGTGGCAGCAGCAGAGAAATGGGTGGGTATTTTTTGGAGGGGAGGGCAAATGGCATCCTTTGAAACCAGGCTGGGCAAACCTGCGCGAGGCAGAGCCGGGGCTGCCGGAGTAGAGTTTGGCTCGGCAGCATGGTGACGGGGCGTGCAGGCATGTACTGAAACAGGGGCTTGAGCAGGGTGTGAAGCCAGGAGCTTCGTTTCAGCCGCTGGCCCGTCTCCCCCCCACACCCCCATAGAGTGCTCTGAACTCCCACTTGCTGGCTAATGCATGTGATGGGACCACTTAAGCCAGTGCGGAGGAGCCAGAGCCCGTGCTGCAGGGAACACGCCTGTGCTTGCCAGGAGGAAGGAGCCAAGCACGCTTCTCTCCCTCTTTTCTCCCAAGATTTACAGTTTCGGTGGCTGGATGCCGAATTCCCTCGTCTCTGCAACAAAGCAGGACTAGTTTGGAGCTGGTGCGTGAAGAGAGGAGAGGTGATGGAGAGGTTGGTGCTAGTGCTTAAGACTCCCAGGAGTGTGCAGGTCTCCTGTGGGGACTATTGGCGGGGGTGGAGGGGGAGTGGGGGGAGATTTATTTCAACAGATTAGCTGTGGTTGAGGCATGAGTGAAGGCTGCCATACTGGAGTGCAGCCAGCCCTTCCTCTCTGAGCCCCTAAGATTTTGGAAAATCTCACCCTCCACTTAGCGTGAAGTTGCTCGGTTCCACAGAACCTGGCTTTCAAGTGCTAAAAAACTCCAGCCCAAGAGCCAGAATCACGTTGCCATCGCAGGAGCAAGTTGCAAAGGTGTCACTTTCCTGGATGCGGCCGTGCAGCGTAAATCGGAGACGATGTTCCCCTCTACTTCCCCAAATCCTGTCCCACGGCTCCCTGTCCGGGGCTACACCACCTGCCTCGGCCGGGGCGAGGGGAGCCCCCCGATGCAGCAGAGCTCTGTCCTCTCCCTGCAACCTCGTCGCTGACAATTCCCCCGCCCGGTCCCCACGCAGCCCTGGGAGAGGGAAGCTCCCTGCCAGCCCCCCCAAGGCGTTACTTATCTGCTTAGGAAAAACACCCAGCTGCCAGCGCTGCAGCCGCGGGACAGGGGCCGGATCCTGCCCAGGGAAGCGTCCCGGCTTCCTACAGCTTCGCACTCCGCTGTGGCAACCGCTCCGAGACAGACATACAGATAGACAGACAGACAAGCAGGCACCCCCGCCCAAAACCTCCCCGCTGCCCGGCCGTGCTGTGTGTGCTGCTGGGGATGGAGACGGGGCCGGGAGGGACTCTCGGC